GTGGCCCACTGGTAGTTCCACCCCATCAATCTTAACTACCTTTCCTCTCTTTACTACTATCCAGCCACACTTCTCCAGGCTGAATGACATCCCAGTGTCCTCACTGTTGATCCATGTCAGGTGGATCAGTGAGTCACTGTCTCGTTCACTCTTAGCATACAGCTTGATGTCATCCATGTAGAGGAGGTGGCTGATGGTGATTCCACTCTTGAACTTGTACCCATATCCAGTCCTTGTGTTTATCTTCCTGAGGGGGTTCAAGCCTATGCAGAACAGCAGCGGGGACAGTGCATCACCTTGGTATATGGCGCACTTGACAACCACTTGTGCAAGCTGTCTTGAGTTGACACCAACTGTCAAAGTAAAACATTTTTTCTCCTCTACCATGTTTATAAAGTCTGCAACAAAATATGGAATTGGTTATTATTACTTCTTTTCTCACCATTAGTATTTCCATATATTTTTCCAAATCCCTCTGCCACACAGTATTGGGATCAAAGGAATTTATATGCATTATAAATTCCACTATCTGCATTAATTTCCACTATCAGATGTTTCGTGCTTTCAACCAGAGTTGCCATTCCATTATGTGCATAATTTGCTTCTTTAACACTTCGCCTAAAAAATGAAAGTGAAGAATCTTCGGCAAGCAGCCGAGGAGTTCTAGTTTATAATTTAATCCTGACTTTGGTTTTGGATGTCAAATAACTTTTTTTTTTTCAAATACTTCCAATCCAGACTAGCATATGAAGAGTGGAGAAAGATTGTTTTATAGAAAACATTTGTGTGTGTGTATGTGTTATAGGGCCGTGATTTATATGGTTCAGATTTAATTCTAAAAATGGCAGCACATGGGAGTGCAAGTTCTGCAATTTACTAAAAGAGCTGGGTCTTATCCACGGTTCAGGTAGTTTTTACAGCTGCCATGTGATCCCAGGAAAAGACATGGCTGCTTGAAAGCACCAGAAGTGCTGCATAGCTCTGAAATATAGCTTTAGTAAGAAATAGTAAGAAGTAATAAATAATCCTTCTCTATCATCCAGCATACCTCTTCATCCTTGAGTGAGTCAGAGGTAAACTCCATGCGATTCACTTGGATAAATTGTTTCATTCGAGAGACGATCACATTATTTATTAACTTGATCATTCCTACTGGGTTGGCTCATTTATATATACTAAATAAACAAATTTTGCTTTTCTTCTTACCCAAAAGATTTATGTCCCCTATGAGTGATTACATATATTTTCTTAAATGGGTGCTACCTTGGGATTGTATGATGCTACTCTTTGAATAAGATACAAAACAAACTTATTTATGTTAAATAAAAAGCAAATCTCATTAAATTCAGTGGTGCTAACTCCCAGGAAACTAAGCCATAAGGAGAATGGCCCACAGGGGAAAATAGATATCTTTGACAGAAAAATATGCAATAATGTATGTAAGGAAAGAAGACACTTTTTCAAATTGCATTAAAATATATACCTTTAAACCATATGAATTACATTTTTTGTGGTTTATAATTTTACAGTTTACAATTTATTGTGAAGCGTCCCTTGAAATATTAAGAATGCTATGGGAATTTGTATACAGTAAGTGTCGTTCATCTGATTCACTGGGGCTTTCTGACTCTCCCCCTCTCATTCTTATTTGCTTTCTCCTAGACCTTAGAACTGGGTAGGCGAGAAGAGTGCCTCTTCCTAGCAATTGACAAATTCTAGCATTTTAAATGTAAATGTATTTCAGTTGTTGGATATCTGCCTCTCATACATTTTCCTTCATGCTCACCAGGGAGATGGAAAGATGCAGCCATGGTTAAACATGCTGAGGGGGAAAAAAACACTGTTTCCATATAGGTTTCTCAATGGTCTTTTCAGAGCAACGTGTACCAAACCCGAATTACAAGATCCTGGCTACTTATGGAAGCTCTCTGCATCAGTGATATAGCCTATGAGAAGCTTTTATGTCCTAGAATTCTCTTCAGTCCTTCTTTCACTTCATGGTTTCTCAGAGTATAGATAATGGGATTTAGCATGGGTGTAAGGACTGCATAGAAGAGAGAAAACAATTTCTTAACTTCTGGTGAATAGTTGGAATTGGGCCTTAGATAAACAATGCTCCCACTTCCATAGAATAACGTCACCACAATGAGATGAGAAGAGCAAGTAGAGAAGGCCTTTTGCCTACTTGCTGCTGAAGATATCTTGATGATGGTGATGATGATCCGGATATAAGAAATCAAGATCAGAACAAAAGGAAATATAAGGAATACAAGTGTAGAGACTATGGCTTGCATTTCAAAAAGGGAAGTATCAGCACAGACTAATTTCAGTACTGGAGGGGCATCACAGAAGAAGTGATCAATCATTTTCATGCCACAAAATGGAAGGCTGAAGATCCAGGCTGCCTGTAACAATGAGACAGGGATGCCAATCAACCATACCCCACCAACCAACCTCTGACAGAAGCTCCTGTTCATGATATTGGCATAGTGCAGGGGGTTACAGATGGCAACATAACGGTCATAAGA